TGGGATTACCCAGGGTAATTGGGACTTGCCCAGGGTCACACAGCTAGTAAGTGTCAAGTGTTTGGTCTGAGGACGGATCTGAACTCAGGTCCTCCAGACTTCAGGGCTGGTGCTCTACCCACTGTGCCACCTAGCTGCCCCAGATTCCAAAGTTCTTTAGAGAGACCTTGAGAGTATCCTTGTATCATTTCTTCTGACCACCATGTGAGTGCTTGCCCTGTGTGAGTTCTCCACAAAATAGTCTTTTAGGCCAGTATATATTTGTCACTTGAACAACATGGCCACCCCACTGGATTTATGCCCTCTGCAGTGAAATTTGAATGTTTGGCAGTTCAGTTTGAGAAAAGACCTCAGTGTCCAGTATCTTATCTTGCCAAGTGACCTTCAGAATCTTCCTAAGACAGTTCAATTGAAGTACTTCAATTTTCTGGCATGGTGCTGGTAGACTGTCCAGGTATCACAGGCATACAACAATGAAGTCAGAACAATGGCTCTGTAGACCTTCAGTTTGGTAGTCTGTCTAATACCTCTTCTCTCTCACACTTTCCTTTCCGAGCCTCCCAAACACTGAGCTAGCTCTAGCAATGTGTGTGTCAACCTCATCATCTATGTGTACATCCCTGGAAAGCACACTGCCTAGGTGAATGAACTTATCCATAGGATTCAAGACTGTTCCATTTGCTGTAACTGGTGGTTCCATGTATGGATGGTGCAGTGCTGGCTGGTGGAGAACCTCTGCTTTCTTTGTGCTAGTTGTTAGGCAAAAATGTATGGGTAATATCTTAACTTGATCATAAATTGGATTTAAGTGAGGCAGAAGTCGTCAGCCTCAATCTCTCTTCCAGAGTCATCAAAGTCCAGTGGCAAGACAAAAGTCAAGATGACTGGTGATGGCTTGGGATGCAGTGGATGACCTTGGCATCTTTAATGTCTAAGCAAGCTCTAAGTACTCCATAGCACCTGCTTCTACTGCCTTCATGGTAATTGGAACAAATTGTTCTCATCTGCCCATTCAGCTGGGGGACGTCTTCACACACTTGGGGTAGACATTCCCTTAGCTCACCAACAGGTTTGAGGCCTGTCGGTTACCCTCAACCTGCTTTAGCCCATCTGCTGAAACAGTTTGCTTGGGTGTGGCCACTGTGCAAGCTAAAACTTCTTGGAGCCACAGGTGAGAGTTGTGTGGCTGGTGGACACCAAAGTGAAAAGCAGCCCTCACACCAGAGATAATAGTCTTCCTTGATACCCGTACATCCAGGAGAGGTGGTCCGGCTTCCCAGTCATGCATGGTTAGGTTCAAACAATGCAATAACGTTTTCTCATAATTCCCATAATTGAATAAAGTTTTCTCACAAGAAATGGGACCAGATTCACAATTGAATAGAAAGGGAATTGAGCTAGTTCCAGAATTGAGTCACAAGATGGACTCAGTGTGGTTCACTCATTCCCACTTTAGTCACAGTCAACATGTCTGTCATTGTGGGGCAATTGTGTCCACAACCTGGTTTAGTTCCCAGTGGTATATAGTTAATCACCAAGTACCATTGGCCTTCCTCACTGGCAACTTCAGGCTGTTGAACTAGGAAACGGTCTAGAGTACAGCACTAACATCCAATAGTTCTTATATTAGAGAAATTATCTCTCTCTTCACCTGGAATTCTCTATTACTTGGGTTCACCCACCTTAGTGGGGGGGGGAGGGAAACTGAGGGAGCCAAGGGGAGTGTCAAGCTGCTACTCACCCCACTGTTTGTGGGAAGAAACGGGCAATCATGGAGGATTGTGATTAGCTGGAATATTGGTTTGCCTCTGGAAAGCAGCTCAACAAGTCTATGCTACAGTCTTCAGTGGGAGTTGCCACTAAAGTCCATTAAATAGGCTGGAGCAGTACCATGGTAATTATGGCAGTCACTTGGGTGCGCCCCAAGGTATAACCTGGGCCAAAGACATTAAAGGGAATTCTATTGCTTTTCCTATGTTGTACCCCAGGTACTATAGTCACCTGTGAACTGGTGTCTAGGACACCCAGAAAATGTCTAGTTCCCCCATCTGGCCATTCAATCATGATTTAGACATATGACCCATAATCCTCTGGGGGTGTAGCTAGTCTGGGGACTAGACTCTACCCTGATTGCTGTTTACTAGATTTGAAGGGGGTGAGGTCAGGATAGAGGGTAGCTATCTGGTGGATGTCTTCTTCGTGTACTTTGGAGGGTGGTGGGGAAAACAAGGTTGGGGGCCAGAGGTTTTGCAGAGCATAAATTCTCTGAGCCAGTTCATTCTCATTCTCTTCCTTCATGTTCTACTGCTGTCGCCAGTTTGTAGTGCAGGTGAGTTCAGATGAAAAGCATCAGCACACAAACTTTATTGCTCCTCAACAAAGAGAGGATAATAGCTGCTAGCAGGGATAGTCTTGGTGTGTGGCTTCCATATCCACAGTGGTCAGCGCACAGTAGGGGAGAGAATAACCATGCTCCTGTCAGAGGCCTCAAGACTCTAAGGAGAGTCTTAGGACTGGGCCATTGAGACAGAGCCAGTATGAAACCATAGTTTCTGCCTGTTATCTATATGACCAGCAGAGTGAGGCTATCTTCTAAATTACCTAATACAGAATGAGGAGTGTGGGACAAGGGAGTAGGAATGAGGACCAGGGAAGTAGAGAACCTTAATGGTACATTCAGCAAGAGGCTGAAAGGGGTTAATGACCAGTTTTGGAGTTTATTAGTCTTGGAACATTTGCATCCTAAGGGCCTGGGGCCATACCAGTCGACCCAGTTTTCACCAGTTGACACTACTTCTGGTACAGCATGATATAGAATTGGAAGTGCCTTGGAGACTACATAGCACTCACGAACATTCCCTAGGGGGAGAGAGGGAATAAGCATTTCTTTAAGGACCTAGTAGGTGCCAGGCACTGTGCTGACACTTTTAATTTTTTGTTTGTTTGTTTGTTTTGGCAATTAGGGTTAAGTGACTTGCCCAGAGTCACACAACTAGTGAGTGTTATGTGTCTGAGACCGGATTTGAACTCAGGCCCTCCTGACTCCAGGGCCGGTGTTCTATCCATTGTGCCACCTAGCTGACACTTTACAAACATTACCTCATTTGATCCTCACAACAATTCTATGAGATAGTTGCTGTTTATCATTGTCCTCATTTTACAGATGAGGAAAACTGAGGCAGAGGTGAAGTGACTTGCCCAGGGTCACACAACTAGTAAATGTCCAAGACCAGATTTGAACTCTGGTCTTGCTGACTCCAGGCCCAGTACTCTCTCCATCATGTCAACAGCAATCTCTACTTGGTTCTAGTTTGCTAACCATGGGGTTAGAGGCTTTGTTTTGTTTTTTGATTGGCATGGGTTTAGTTACTTTGGCTATTCTTGCTCTAGACGTGCTCAGTTGGTGTTACTCCACTCACAGCAGCTGGTGAGAGGCAATGCTGTCCCCTTGGGTAATGTGGTCACGAGAAAAGGCTTCAGTCCTTGGCCTATATGTTTGTTGTTTTCCATTTTCCATGAAGGGATTGGAACCACTAATCCTGTGAGTTTCGAAAGATCAATAGGGCTCTCTAGCCTCATCTTTTCAGAGTTCAGGTTTGCAGTCAGCACAGCATTGATATACTGAGGACCACGTGGCGATTTGGGACTAGCATCCAGGACCAGCCCACATCCACATACAAATGTCAACTTGGTGACATCAATTTATTTAAGAACCATGCTGAGTGAACCTACTTTCCACAATGAAAGTGGCTTAGGAAAGATCGTATTCCGTAAGTGTTGGGAGGAAATGTTTGTAGTTGTGTTTTTTTTCAATCTTCAAAGTAAACACCCCTCTGTAAAATTTAACTGATGTAATTAAATGTAATTGGGTTGCTCCTTACTGGCACCTCAAAATGGGAGGAACACAGCTGGTGGGGGCTTAAGCTGATGGCATTGAAGAGACATCACACTATTTATCTCCCACGTACAGTTATTTGTATGTCGTTGCCTCCATTACAAGGTGAGCTTGAAAGCAGGGGCCATTCTTTTTTCATCCCTAGCACTTAACAAAGTTGTGTTTAATAAATTCAGGCAGCTAGGTGGTACAGTGCAGAGCACTGGGCCTGGAGTCAGGAAGGCTCATCTTCTAAGTTCAAATCTGGTCTCAAGACACTTAACTAGCTGTGTGACCCTGGGCAAGTCACTTAACCCCGTTTGCCTGGTTTCCTCATCTGTAAAATTAGCTGGAGGAAATGGCAAACCACTCCAGTATCCTTGCCAAGAAAACCCCAAATGGAGTCACAGACAGTTGGACATAACTGAACACATAAATTCATGATGGCCAAGTCATCAATGCCCTCTCTAAAATGTGGCCCCCACAACTGAACACAATGCTTTAAGTGTGGTCTAACGAGTACTGACTGAATACTGCACAATAATCACCTAGGTCCTATGCCTCTCAATGTGGTTCAAGACCATTTTTGGTTTCTTTAATACACTATCCACCATACAACCCACATTGTATGGACTGTCCAAAATACTCCAGATCTTTTAAAAAGATTTTTAATCTTTACATTGTTAAAATTGCCCTCCCCCCACCCTTCTTTCTCTCAAAAAGTCATTCCATATAACAAAAAGAATTTTTAAAAGAAAAAAGAGGAAGAAAAAGCCATCAGCAAAACTAACATATTGAACAAATCTGAAATCATATGCAACGTTCCACATCCATCGATCTCCCACCTCAGAAAAATGGGGGTGGGGTGGGGGAGAAGGGGAGTGTGTATTGCTGGAGGCTTCTTCTCACATCTCCTTTGGGGCTTTTTTTTTTTTTTTGTAATTAAAAAAAAACATTTATGGTTCATGATTTCACAGTGGCTTTTCTTTTTGTTATCATAGTCATTGTGTATTATTGTTCCCTTGGCTCTGCTTGCTTCACTTTGCTCAAGTTTGTCTTTCCAGGCTTCTTGGTAATCACGTTTGTCATTTCTTACAGCATCATACCCCATTACATTTACATACCACAATTTGTTTGGCCATTCCCCAGTTGATGGACATCCTTGTTTCATTTGTTGCTCCCACAAAAAGTGCTGCTACATGTATTTTAAGTGTATAGTGGAATCCCCCTTCTGTCTTCTTCAGACAAACTGCTGTGCAAGTGGCTTGCCCTCTCCACTCTAAGGCTTTGACTCCAGCCCCCAAACGTCACCACCACCCCATGCCTATCCCCAGACAGCCCTGCCCTATGGCTGCTCAGTTCTAGCCACGTTCATGGCCCCTGCTTGAACACTAATACTGTGGGAATTTAAAGCTCTTTACAACCTAGCTCTAGCTTACCTATCTGAATGTATTCCACAGTACTTCTCTTCATACACTTGAGGACATAGTATCTCCCATTTCTCTGCCTCTACCTAGGCTGTGCACCATACCTGGGTACATTCCCTTCCCTCCAGAAGCCCCTTAAAATGCCCAGTCTTCAAAGCCTGGCTCAAGCAGCATCCAGGAGGTGCCTCTCCTCATCCTCCTCATGCTACTGCCTACCCTAGCCTCCATTATTTGCATTTATTCAAACTTCTAAAATTAAGTGCTTGTGGAAGGTGCTTCCCGTCCTGTTGCTGAGTATATGGGCAATCCTTTTGCAAGTCCAGGTGGGCCCTCTGCCACCTTCCTTTCAGTCTTCTACCCTCTCAATCACAATCCTTTATTTTTGATTCTGGCTCAGTGCTTTCCCTCTCCATGGAAGAGAAGGCCCTGAGAACTATTTCACTACGGGGGAAGGTAGTGGCAGGTGAGACCATTTTAAAGTAGTGAACAATTTCTACACCATTAGCAGTGAGTGGAACTCTAGTAGGCAAGCAAGTTGAGCTGTTGGAACACTGGCCAAAGCATCAGGCTTAGCTGACGGACTGACTCGACAGAAGGCTAAACTGCCTTTGGTATCTTTGTTCCATGGGCTGGCTCTCCAGCCATCAGAATCTAAGCCTCCTGAAAGCATGGGGTGGCTTACTTCTATTACTGTCCCCAGTACTTAACATTTGTCTGGAGACAGATATTAGCCATCTAGAACATTTGGACGTTCATTCAGCAGATGGCTCTCTGAGGAGGAGGTAGAGGGAAGAGCATCTTCAGAAATAAAGGAGATAGAAAACCAACTGGATTTTTGGTTTTGTTTTCCTTTAAGAGGAAAGGGGCAAGAGAAGAGTGAGGGGTGGCCAGAGAGGTAGAAGGCTTGAGTAAGATTGCTCCTGCCTCCCGGTCTAGCAGCTCTAGCTGACTGTGAGGGAAGGAGGGGGGGCTCAGAAGCTGCACAGGGGTGGCACAGAGATGTTTCCAACTCCATGGGAGCCCACCACTGGAGGGCTCAGAGCATCAGGGACAGCACGATGCCCACCACGTCCACTATCTCCACTGGAGATGTTCTGCAGATGCAGACTCCTTTGTAATAGGATGGGATAGTGGGCTTCTCCCTATTTATAGGCAGCAAATATGGGAGGAGAGCCTGCCAGCACCTACAAGGCGGGGACTGAGACGAGATGATGACCAAAGACCCCCGTCCAACCTCTGGGTGGAGGGCTGGGTTGGTACATGCCTTGACAGAATGGGGAGCCCCTGCTACTAGCAAGAGCCCTGGGAACCTTGTGGAGGCATCTATTGCTTCTCTGCCTGCCAAATACAGTCTGTAACCCAGCCCCAACCCTGCTGCTTTCCCGAGAGTTCTCCCTGTGCAGTTAAGAGTCAAAGCTGCAGCTTTTTGGCAAGAGAAAGCAGACAAGGCACGGGGCCCATTGCAGGGCTAGGGTGTAGCCTGAGGTTTCCAGGAAGAGGCTGTGGGGAGGGGTTGTGAAGGTGGAAGAGCCAAAGCAGCTGGCTTCTTAGCAGGCTCCAGGCCCCTCCTGAGGGAATCCCAAGGTCTTACAAGGCCTCTGAACCCAGGAAAGACTCCAACCCTGCCACCCCAAAGAACAACACCCACCCCCTCTGCTAACCCCCAAACTAAATCTCACTTTCTGCACACTAGGACCCTGGGGAAGTCCTTTCATTTTCCTAGGTCCCAGATGCAATCAAAGGGAGAAAGGGTCCTCCAGAGTCCACTGGGACTAGCCTTCTGAGTTCTAAGATTCTCTGCCTGCCTCTTCAGTAGGCACATGGATCCACACTCTTTCTAATGCTTTCTCTCTCTCTCTCTCTCTCAGCTGTGGCTGGGCTCTGTTGCTTGGCCCAGAGAAACAGATTTCTAACTGGGGATACCCATCCCTCAAGCCTCAGGGACAGGCTCCTCCCTAGCACCAAAGCAGACAAACCCCAACACCCATCCAATGGACAGTATGAATAGGGTCGTGTGGGTCCCTAAGGAGATCATAATGAAGAGGCACAAAGGCAACAGCTGATGCCAGTGTATCCTCTCCATGGGACACCCTGGTGGTCAGCCCCATTGTCACCCTTTGGCTCCCAACCCCGGACCGGGCTAGGGGATGGGAGGGGGATGTGCTGAGACCAGAAGAATCCAGTCTTATACCAGGCCTTGGCTTGTGAATGGCCCAGCACCCCCGGGAGGGAAGCGCACACCCTAGCGAATGTGGGCCATCTCCTCCAGAAAGGGGGTTTTCATGCAGCCTGTGCAGAGCTGGTCCATCCAGAGGGGGGCCTCATGCTGCAGAGGAGTGCGGCGAGGAAAGAAGGTATAGCGAAGGTCATAATTGAGCAGGCAGCTGATGGAAGCCATGTAAAGGTCTGAGAAGCGGCACAGCCGGCGAGAGAAGTAGGTGGGGTTGTGGCAGGTTCGAAAGATGCTGCCAAACTGAGGGTTGAACAAATTCTTGGTGACAGCCCTGGGAGAAAACGGAGAGTGTGAGAGAGCTCCAGCTCACAGTGGGGCAAGGCCCTGGGGGCCTGGTTTTAGCCTCAAAGACACAGCCTAGGGAGTGACTTCTTTCTTTTTAACTGTTACAGATTGAACTCTTGACAAATACAAGCAAATTGGACCTTGGAGATGAATTCCAATATGACTGTGACATCCAAACTGTTGACATTCCCCTAGAATGTAAGTCTTTGAGGACTGAGGCTGTTTTGTTGATGTTTTTTAGGCCTAGCACCTAGTCCACCCAGTGTCTGGTGCACACTTCTTCAACTGAAGGATAGGGAAACAAAGTGTCAGGGAGAAGGGAGGGGGAAGGGCAGGTGTCAGGACAGGGACCATGCCCCTAGGCCTTGTATGCCAGTGCATCATGGGGCCAGAGGTCTTGGGAGGTTATTCACTCAAGGGGCTGAAGTCACCTCCCACCCTAGGGAAGTCTAGCCCAAGGCCCATCCTCCCCCAGACCCAGCCACACTGGCCTTGGAGCCTCAACACACCTCATCTCCTGTCTCTCCTTCATCCAGTCTTGGAGCACCTGCTGGGACTCAGCATCTCGAAACATCTGGGCAGCAACCAAAAAGAAAACATTCTGGTTTAAGTCCTACCACATCACAGAATCCTAACTCTGATCCTGTCAACACTCTGGACAAGCTAGAGGGCCAAAAAGGCTGCTGCTGGACATGAAGGGAGATGGAGGACCCAGCAGCCCAAAGGCTATTGCCAGAGCTGCCTCTGGCTTCTAGGACTTAACCTGGAAACATTTCAAAGTATCACAAGCAGTTTTCTGCTCTACCTCCACCACTCTACACCAAGTCTCTTGGTCCAAAGGAACCAGCCAGAGGGAGAGCACTGACCTGCATACGTTCCAGTAGGCCAGTGAGGGCCTGTAGCCATGTCAGTGACTGAGAATACTGCTCTGTGTTGACAATCTTGGTTTCAGTCTCCAGCTCTGGAACAATGGCCCCAGTACGCCAGCCATGACGAAGCATTAGGTCCTTGGAGAAGGCAGCAATGAGGCAGGGAAAAGAACAGTGTGGTGAAGAGGACAGCCATGGCCTACCCCCCTGGCGCCTCTTTGGCCTCAATGAATCTGCCTAGTGATTTTCCCCTAGGCCCTGAGAGGGGATCCACTATTGCTGTCCATACAGCCCCTAGTGTGAAGTCCCCCTCTCCCTCTTTTGGCTCCCTAAAAAGACTCACTGCCAGATCACTGTAGAGATGGTCACCAAAGTAGAAGACTTTGGATCCTCGCCAACCAGTCAGCCGCAGAAAATCAAACAGGTTCCCCTAGGGATGGAGCAGGAGATCCAGGTTTAGGGATAATTGAAAGTTGGAGGGGGGAACAATTATAGAAAGATATAGATGCTTCACTGGGCAATGCTATTCCTCCCTGAAATTCACTGACCTTTAGCCTTGCTGTCCTGCCAGCATAAGCCCTGTGCACCCTGCTGCTCTGCCCCCAAATCAGGGCAGTCTACTCCTCCTCATAGAATCATAGAATCATAGAAGCGGCACAGTCATGACCACTGCAACCTCTTCTGAACTGTACCCAAAGTCATTGGCACTATTAGGGTCCTCCACTACAGAATACGGCCTCAAGTAAGGGATGCTGCTCAGAAGGCAGCCCTAAGGTCAATTCCATTTCAATGTCAACCTGAGTTTGAGTTTTCTAGCCATCTCTTCCCAAATCCTTCCATTGAATAATCTGGCCTCAGGAACTTCCTAGCTGTGTGACCCTGGGCAGCTCACTTCTCTGTTTGCCTCAGTTTTCTCATCTTAAAAATGGGGATATCGGCACCCACCTCCCAAGGCTGTTGTGGGGATCAAAAATCAAATGAGGTACCAAGTACATTGCTTTGTAAACCTTAAAGCACTAAATAAATGCTAGCTAACATTATGACTCTGTTAACTTTCTCCGATTTGGAGAAGTACCAATATTATATCTTACTATTACTGGTGATGATGAAAAGAATGACTTTGAAGGAAGGAATCTTTTCAGTTCCTCCCCTTTTAAGCTGCTTTCTTCTGCAAACAAGTCAGGACTGGTGGTGATGGGAGTAATTTAGCTCCTTGTCCCAAACAAGCTCCAAAAAAAGGAGATGTGAGAGGTGCACCCTAGTGCCAGGAGGACCAGTCTGGTCTTTCATTGTGGCTAACAGATTGAAGAAAAAGAAAAGATTTCCTCCTCTTTGCCTGTGGATTTTGTCCCAGACTGGACCTCAGATCCTAGAATTGCAACAACTAGAATGCTGTCTCTGGGAAACATTTTCTATCTCTCAAACTGAAGAACCCAAAGCCCTGAGTATTCCAAACCACTTTTCCTTCCTGACCACGTGCCCTGAGGGGAGGGGAGTGGGCACCTCTTCTGTTGGGTACCTTTAAGTGTGAAGGGCAAAGGCTGGGTGGAGCCTGAAGGGGTTATGGTTTGAGAAGAGTGTGTGTGTGGGGGGGGGTGGGGGGGTGGAATAGGCCCTTCAGGCCAGGGCAATGAGTCATACAATTCCTTGAGACCTTTCTGATACTCCCAGACTGTGATGTCACTGACAATCTCTGCATCTGCCACATTGAGGAGCCCTGAGGTTAACAGGAAAACGTACAAAGTTTGAAGCCCTCCTGCTGAAACTGGAGGCCCACATCCTGCACACTGGAGGTGGTTTTGATTCTTTCCCTTTGTGCCTCCCAATCCCTGACCTGAACCTTCCCTCTAAGTAGAGCCTGATGCCACACCCCCCAAAGCACCAGCATGGTAGCCTCATATTCCCTTGTAGAAATGAGGTTCAGTGCCTGTTGTCCCAAGTTAAGAGCTGGCCAGGAAGGAACCCGAAGCAGCTGCTGTCAGGACCCAAGCCCCTGGCTCCAGCTGGAAGAGATACTGTGGTGCTTGAGAAACAGGGGTGGTAGACACAGTCCTGGAAACAGTTACGATAGCCATCCAAGTGAGTGGAGAGAAGCAGGAGTGCCAATCCAGGCCCTTGGAACAATGGGCACAGGCCTCACCTGCTTGTATACCTGACCCTTTTCTAGCTTGATGATCTTATCCCACTGAAGGTCTCCATTCTCGTCCAATCGTCGGAAAGGTCTGCCAGAAAGAAAGGACAGCTCTCAGGCACCTAGTGTCTTCCCTCTCCTCCTGGGATAGGGGAATTCTCCTATATTAGCTATCCAGTCTTTGGCAGGAGATAGGTATATGTGGCCCCAGAGCTCAGGCCAATTGGTTGGGGGTTTCCCAGCCTCTTATTCCCCTCTCAAAGAGAATGCCCACTTCTTTCAGAAATGCATGTTAGAGGGATACTCCTGCCAGAGTGGGGCATTTGGCCCTCTGGCTCCAGTTCTACCAGACACTGTTGCATTCATTCATCTGCTCCTATCTTGTTTACCTCCCTAGAAAACCCATGGCTCATGCAGCATTTGTAGAGTTTATGAACATTGTTGGGGTACAGAAGATTCTAGATGTTTGGAGCAGGTTACATAGAGGAACTGGGCCTATAAGAAAGAGAAAGAGTATTCCCCCCCCCAAAAAAAACCCTACAACAACCAATTAAAGGCCCTTTAACAGAAACAGAATATTTTTATGAAAGAAATTTTAAGAGGTCACGTTGGGCAGAACGTTTGTGAATGTCAGTGAGCTGTGAAGCTAGCGCCCCTGTCTCAGTACACCTCCCCCTCCCCCATTTGGCACTGGTCTGTCACTTTTGCTCTGGGGCAGGAATTCTCCCACTCCTGTCTTCAGGCTACAGAAACTGGGGGGAGGGAGCATGTCAAGTGTTATTGGGACAATATGGGAGAGAGACAGAGGAAAAGAAGCAAACCTGAGGCTACAAAGGAAATTCCAGAATCTGGGAGTCTAGGGTCCTCCTACCTGGCCCAGTGTCGCCCCTCCCCCAGAAAGCAGCCCGGAGTTGCTGTGGTGGCTGATGGCAGGAGGCTGCCTTTCCTCCTTTTCTCCCAACACTTAAGAACAGAGAAGGGACTTCCTTTATTCTAGGAATAAGCAGGAGCAGAGGAAGCCAGCAAAGGCTTGCCCAGATTCAGGCTTATGATGCTTTTGTTTGGCCTCAGCCCAGGGAATACTGTAGTGGGAGGTTTGGGAGGGTCACATCTATAGTTAGTCAAATCAATGGGAGGAAGGGCCAAAAACCCAAACAAAGGGCCCCTAGGGTTCAGATCAAAGAGACGAGCTGTCTCTAGGCTACAGTCAGTGCCCCAGCCAAAGGGTTCATTCAGCCCAACCAGGAGCAGCTGAGACTGTCCCTAACTATCCCTGAGAGGCTCCCCTAGGGCCACCAAGTGCCCTAGGCCCCAGCCACCAACCCTTCTGGGCCTGTGTTCTCAGAACATCTGCCTTTGAGTAGATCCTGGTCTCTGCTTTATTTCTCAATGGTTGGATCTAAACCCCCTCCATTGCTCACAAGTGCTCTTCCTTGAAAAACTAAGGGAAAGTGGACTTGGCCTATCAAGGAGAAAGCACATTTAAGTTAAGGCTAGGCCTTCTGGAAAACACAAAGTGAAGGCTCAAAAGTTCCCAAACAGACTCCATCCCTCTAAGGACACCTTCAGCCAACGAGGTTTCTAACAAAAAAGGAACTCCAAGCTGAAGGCTTCAAACTTTACAACAATATGGCACCCACCCCACTCCATGGCCTTAGCTTTGTAAAGTAGTAACATGAACTCCTAGCATTAAGGAAGAATGTGGAGTTGATAGAGCTTCTCTGAGGGGCCCATGGGACTGGGGCTGAGTCAGGGCTGGGTTCACGATTCTGAGCTGGACGTGTCCAGACCAACTTCCAATATTTAGGGAATAAAACAGCAACTCAAGATATTGTTTCATTTCTACAGTCAGAATGAATGAACGAATGAATGAAAGTGAAACCATTTGTTATAAACACTTACTGCGTGCCAGATGACGTGCTAAGTGCCGAGGATGCAAACAGAGCCAAGCAAGGGAGACAGGCCCTGTGATCTTCCCTTCTAAGGGGAGAGGCACGTATAGTGAGTGGCATGGTTTGGACATGGTCTGGAAGTGACATGGAGGCCTGGCTCCAGGCAAGAGGAGACAGAAACTTATTCTCTGACAAAATGAAAGAGAAGAATCTTGGAAGCCCAATTTGCAGGCACTAGATGAATAGCATTGTGTAGCAAAAGAATATTGAGCTGGAAGACAAGAGATCTGGGTTCAAGTCTCAGCTCCCACATTTACTGGCAAGGGCCTTGGGCTGCCTTCCTCCATGAAACTGGTGGACCTCACAGGGTGCTTATGAGAAAAGTGGTTTAGGAAACCACAAAGGGGTTATCTAAATGTGAATTACGGCCGAAGAAGGAAAGGCTCCAAAGAAGGCTGGTTCCGCCTGCCTGGCTAGGGACAGGATTTTGTGCTGCCTTCCCTCCCTCCCACCATTACACCCAGGCCACAGGATCAAATGAGGCTGTCCTCTCCAGACCCACACACTTACTTGATGCCATCATTAAAGAAATGTGGCTTATCCGCCTGCACAATGACTATATCGAAGAAATCCCTCCACTCCTTGCCCACCATGTACTTCATGCCTTTGTCACTGGAGAGACAGAGAAGAGGATGGAGGGTCGTGGCCTCTCTGTAGGATCAGAGGACTCTCTTCCTCGGACACCCACAGCACATTTCGTGTACCCCTCACCTCCCCAACACCCCTTGCCCCAGTGGTTGCTCCAGCCTCTGCAGGATACACTGCAACATGTGACCAGATATGGGGGCAGGGAAGCAGGAGAAGAGGAAGAGCTTTCTGAGTGCCCTTCCCACCTTCACTCCACTCCCCTGGGGACACTCACACAAAGCTGAAGGGGCTGTTGGTGATGAGAAACAGTTTCTTGCCGTTGTCCACCAGACGGCGCAGGACAGCATAGGTCTCTTCACCCCGAAGGATGTACTTTTCTACAAAGCGGACATAAACACAAGTGCAGGGAGGTCAGAAGGGCCCGGGCAGGGGACTTTGCGTCTCCAGTCAGGCACAATCTGGAGCCCTGATCCTAATAAAATCCCAAGTTGGGAAGCCCTGGACACTGGGGCAAGTCCTCACATCAAACCTGCAAAGCCACAGACCTTTTTTGCAGCTCGGAGACAAAACTATTCCCCCACCAAGATCTCACAAGAGCTCTTTTCCCTCAGATTAGTGCATAACTTCTGGGCAGGGGAGGATTGCTTAAGACCTCCAAACCTCTAAGACCAGAACTGAATAGAGCAATTATAAATAAAAACAGCTCTTAATTATCTTTACCACAGGAAAGAAGAGAGAGAATATGTGCATGCCTGTGATGGGGTACTTGGGTGCCTGTGCTTGGACTCCAATTTCTCCCTAGCCTCAGAAACACTATCCCTGGCAGTTTCCTTCCAGCCCAAGGACCCTATCTCTGGTAATAACTCATGAGTGGGGCTGGTGAGGCAAACTATCTCTCCCTGTTACAAGAACAAATTAAACTCTGTAGAATTTCCCTTGCATGAACAGGATTATCTTGTACCAGCAAAACTATCAAGTACTGATGCCCACAGTTACTGTATGCAATCCAGAAGTCAAGCTATAGACGTCAACTCCCAAAACTATCTTGTTATCAGACATAACAGATCAAAATGTAACCTTTAGGAACACTTTCTTCTCCTGGCCCCCCCCCCACGTTTCCAGTAGTGAATGACGTAGTTGTATGTTATCACCTAATGAGCATACTTGACACATAATCCACTACTTTTCCTATATAAGCTTTAGCATCATTTCTGTTAGGTTGCAAGTTCCCTAAGGAACTCTGCCCACCTTGGCAGGTTCCTTAAGGACCCCTGCCCACTGTATAGAGTAACAATAAATCTTGCCTTAAAGGATGCTTGAGTCTGTGAATTCATTCCAGACGATCCTGTCCTATACTCCGGTCCTTGAGGGGTCTCTAAATCTCTCAGAGCTCAACACATGCACATGTGAGAGTCAGTTCAAAACCAATGGGATTGGCATTTTTAGGTAAGCTTCAGTCTGATCCACACAACCAAGGAAATGTGGTCCAATTCTCTCTCTGGGTCCCTCTACATACCCACCTACCCACACGCATGCAACACACACGTACACATGGGCATGCACTCCCTCACTCTCATTTTCAATTTCAGGAGTTTCTACGTAGAGTCTGCCCATGTTCTAAGGCCCAAACTCACCCAAGTCTTGGAGGATCCATTTGTACATAAGGCCTTTGATGTGCACATCTCTGATGGCATCCTAAGACAAAAAAAGGAGGAAATATGCAGCTTTAGAAAAGCTGAGGGTGTATTTAAAAAAAAAAACCTCAAAACATCCCCATCATGGGGAGCAGCTGATCCGAAGCTCACTGCTTTAGGGAGTGGCCCACAAGACCAGCAGGTGTGAGAGGGAAACCTCAATCCAGCTCTTTATCCCACAATGAGGCTTGAAGGAAAACAGGTCTCCAGCTACATTTCAGACGGCAAGTTTGATGGCCTGTTCACGTACCACCACCCCCCCCCCCCCCCCTTAGTCCTAACTCATCAGCTGCAAGGGAGAAGGCAATTCATTTGGAAACAATTCTCCAGAATGCAAACTGTTCTATGGCAGAAACTCAGGCTCAAGATGGGCTTTGGGGGCTCCACTAGCTGCTTCTCCTTAAAGGATCTCCAAAGGGAAGGATTTGTCTGAGGACTGGACAACAAACTCAGAATCAGTGACAGACTTGGGACTTTGCACCTTTTAAGAGATGAAACAGAGAAGTTCTCAGTTTATGCCCTCAGGAGACAGAGCTGCCAGAAATCATCTGGGTAAAAAGAAGCAGCACATTCCACATTTCAGGGGGTCAAAGAGTAGCCTTCAAGGTTTCCGATTACATATTCCCAGAGAGCTCCCAGAGAGCATCTGGGCAAGCAAAAGAGGCTCCCAAAAAAGTAAAGCAAAGCAATTATTTGAGTTGGAGGAAAACAAAAGACTCTCACCCCTCCAGTAACCAGAGAGACAAAAGAGTCTGCCCAAGGCTCAAGAAGAACAACTTATCTGGGGTCACCAAGGGCTCAAAGGAGGGAGTGGGAGGGCTAGAAAAGAAAATGCAGGAGTCTGACAAATACTCTTCAGCAAACTTTGGGTATTAAATCCCTCTGGCCCTTGTGTGGTTTCCAACTAGGGCCTGTGGTTGGGGAATTGGGATTCCTGCAGCAGTTCTCAAATTATACTCCAGAAAATGACTGAGGAACCCCCACTGAGCTTTGGTTTGAATGGCTCCTATCTATTGATATTTACCATATTAGAAATGAAACACTTTTGTATTAGAATGAAAAGAGTTTTGATGTTGAAGACCTCTTGGGGGTCCCTAGACCATACCTGGAGAACCTTCAGGTCTCAAATGGCAAGACTGGAAGACAGAGGACTCAAGAGGGTTTGAATCCCAGTTATGCTACTGCCCAAATATCTCTCAACTTCTCTGCATCTCAGTTTCCTTAAAAGGAGGGCTTTAAACCAGATGACCTCTAAGATCCCTTCTGGCCTGGAATGTAAATGATCTAATGAGCCAATATGGCTGTGGCTTATGCTTGTTCAAAATATCCTTGGGACCTAAGGTCTGGGGCTTTTGATTTAGCCTAGACTTACTCTAGAAAAGACCCTACTTCTTGGAGCAGTGACAGAAACAGGAGTGAGGGGGCCACCAAACCTTGGGCCCCACATTTATTGGAAATAGACAGGCTGCTCTGCAGCCTGGCAGAGAAGGCAGGAGCAGCACGGAGTGCCAAGCCAGGCCACAACAGCACATGTAAGGAGAGAGAAGACAGAATCTCACCCATTCCAAAGTCTGCCCTAGCTCTTTCCCAGTCAGAAAACAGTACAGTATATTTAGCAGAGAGTTGATGTAGCCTCAAAAAGTAATCAGGGTACATGATGCCAAAATGCATAGACCCAGAATTTCAGAGAGTGTCAGCTATGTTCCTGGCAGTAAGAAACACCAGTAGAAAAGTACTGGACACAGGGATGAGGAAAGGGTATGGGTGTGGGGAGAGGGGTGACGGAGAGAAGATAGAAGGGAGAGAGAAAGGAGAGGAAGGGAAGAGAGGGGAGGGGAAAGAAGAGAGAGGGGGAAGGGGGACAGAAGAAGAGAGAAAAAAGAGAGAAGAGAGAAGGGGGAGAGGGGAAGGGAGAGAGGGAGGAAGAGAGAGAGGGGGAAGAGAAGGGAGGAGAGAGATGGGGAGAGAGAAAAGAGAGATGGGGGAGAGAAAGGGGCAAGGCATACACGGGGGAGAGAGAAAAGAGAAGGGGGGAGCAAAAGTGAGAGTGAGAGAAAGAAAAGAAATTGAAGAGACTAAGGGCCATTCACTTAAGCTACTCCCCCTTCTCTGATGTCCCAACCTAACCCTCTAGGAAGGGACTTCAGGTCATCTAGTCCAGCCTGACTTCATATCTGAATAACAATGTCTCAATGAAGTGGAGAGCCTCTGCTTGGAAACCTCTGATGAAGGGGAAATTCCCTCCCTTCTGATGTTCCTGGACCCTAGGCCCCTTCCCCCACTTGCTGCTCCTGGTTTGGCCTTCCTTCTTGCCACTCCAAGTCTTCTCTCCTCTGTCCTTACTCCTTCGATGGAGCCCTCGGATGGCTTCTGGTCCTCTTACCATCCTGGCTACCTTCCTCCAAATCTTCTTAATGTTCGTCCAAACCTTCAATGCTCCAAACCTTCCTAAAATGGACCACCCAGGCCCAACTCCCAGCCCTTGGACTTGCTCTGACCACAAAAGTGTGAAGCCTAACAAGCCTGTCAGGCCCTCTTTACCGGTCTATTGCACAGTCATGGGTGCCTGGATGAGGAAGGAAGGGACGAGGGAGGTTTGGGGTTTTTGGATTCTTAGCATCTAGCACATGCACCGGCTGAAGTGTTGGCCTTTGGGAGGGTCACTTTGTGGGAGGCTGAAGTGAGGAACAAGAACCAAATCCTTCACAGTTGGGAGTTCCAATTCCATTTCTCCTCTCCTGCAGAGACACCCAGGTCAGCATGTTGCCACTGAGAAGGCTCGTGGGTCCTTTTCTTGTTAGTTCCCTCAGAGTTCTGGGCCCATCTTCCTGGGATCCCTTCAGATACTCCATGAGCTTCCCTCATCAGGTGAGTGATGAGGCTCTAGGGCCAGGGTGTCTCAGCCCACTGGGATGTCTTCATTCAAGAAACGTTAGGCATCATCTACACATCATCTGCCTTTTTTTATTCCTGCTCATTCTATGGATGCCACAGTGATCAGGTTCCTGAAAGGTGAATACCCCTTGATGGGGACGGACCATTCTGTGTCTTAATTGTCTCTCCAAAGTTAACTTCCAATGACTACTTTGTGGGAAGGTTCTAAGCCTGCCAACAACCCAAGCATACCCAACTGGCAGCTCCCCGCCTTTGTCCAGCTCACTAAAAAACCTAAGCCCAGAAGTGTGGGCAAGAAAACCAAATGGAAAGGTTGACTTTTTGCCTGGGAAGTTACCAAGGGCTCACTCGTCTCACTGAGGGGAGGAGCTGCAGTGGTTTCAGAGGGGTACAGGGGTGGGGGGGGAACTCCAAAAAAGGCCTCTCTCTTCTCCAGCCTGTCTTAACCTCCACACTGAGCTCACTAGGCAGTGACACTTCTATGGTCTTCCAAGCTTCAGAGCTTCCTTGGCAGCTGTTTCTTAAAGATAAGAGAAAACGGCCTGTGCTCAGGGTCCCTGCTCTCCTCTAATAGAACAGCTTGTTCTTTCCCAAGAAAGATATAGAAAAATGCAAACTCATCTAACCCCCAGCTACCACTCCAGGGGAAGAGATTTTGTCTCTAAGAAAGTAGCCTGCACAATGGCCTAGCCTCCCCTAAAGAAAGGACATAAAGGAGGGCAGGATAGAACCTTCCATTTCTCAGTCACACAGGTAGAGATTAGGGAGGCAGGCACCTCTCACCCTCAAATACCACCCCCGCCCAATCCTTTCCATGGGCCATACCACAAAATCGGGTCTGAGGCTCTTCAAGAATCAAAAAATACCAAGAACTTCTCCTCTGGCAGAAATGACCAGCCTCTCTCCTTCTGGGAACTATTTCTCAGAAAGGGTAACCTTCCTCTTCTAAGAAAAGTGATGTGGAGCAGAGGTTGCAGCTCCACTAATTCTGGGAGGCGAGTCTTTCCCTCTGAGACTTCTTTCCAGCACTGGAGCCATGCAGCACCATTTCCATGCACCCCCTCCATCTTCCCAACCTTACTTTGAGCATCTCCTCTCATGTGGATGTCTGAATAGTCTCCTTCATTGCCTCCAGTCTCTTTCCTTCTTTATACCCTACACACTCCTTCTCCCAAATGAACACTTCTCCTCTTCAAAAACGTGTAAGGGTTCACTACTGCCTAACAAATAAAGTAAAAACAAAAAAACACTCGAGAACTATAAGCAACCTTAGAAATCTAGTCCTAATGCCAAGGCAAGGAAATGAAAGTTCAGACAGAGATTTTAAAGACTTTGAAGCTCCTTAGCCTGGAATCCAAAGCCTCTACAAATGGAACCTGAGGGGTTGTTGCAAGTCTTACCTTGCACTGCTCTAGGACCCTGCCAAACTCTCAGTTCCTGAAACATACTCTATGGTTTTCTACGTCCATCCTCTGGTTGATACCACTGCTAATGACCAGTGTGCACGTCTTCCAAGGCCCCGCCCATCACTCAAATGCCACCTCCTTCAGGAAGCCTTCCTTGATTCCCTTGCTCACAGTCCTCTCTCCTTCCTCTTTATTTGACAGTTCTTTGGTCTATCTTGGTCTATCTTGGGCGGCCACTATCTGAGCCCCTACTCTGTTCTGCCGCAGCCCAGGAGCCCTTCCAGAGTGGGGGTTAGACCCGACTTGTCTTTGTACCCGGTGCTTGGCATAGCACCTCCAATATAAGCATTCATTGGTGCTTACAGGAATGTGGGAATCCTTCATTCCTCTCCCTTCACCCCTGTCAGTCATTGCATTTTGTTCATTCTCCCCCCTTCCCATTCTCATGGGTACCATCCCAGTCCAGGATCATTATCACCATCATTCAGGCTAGACTAGTCTAACAACTTTTGAGGTGGGTTCCCTAACTCTCCACTCAGCATCTTGGGCCTTAGGAGAATCTTTCTAAAACCACCCCTTAGCAGGTAACAACTTTGCTGACTTCCCCTCCAACCCCAACCCCTGAGTAAAGTCTAAACTCACTAACTTATCTCCTATTACTCTACTACGTAAACCAAATTCTCCGACTAGTCACTGTCTTTGATTCCCTGGCCCTCACCACTGCCTTACATACATATGTCATGGTGCCTTTATTTAAGCTGGTCCATCCATTTGCACTGCCCTGAGGTTCTGCTCAGCCCCTGATGACATCTTTTGAATGTCTAGTGCACCTACTGTCATAGCAGCACTGGCACTTAGAATATACAGTAACAAATATGAAATAACAAAAAGGAAAATAAAATAAAGGATGCAACAACATGATCTCCCCACCAGGATACTACACCTTCAAAGGTAAGGATGTTGTCTTATGCCAGCATACTCCAGAGCAGGTGCTCAATCAGTGTTCCAGTAGGGCATTAACATAGTAGCCATGTGCTACGGAGAAGCAAGTCACTACTCTCTCAGAGCTGTTGCCTCTACGCATAACCCCAGCGACTGCTGGAAAAGAAAGCTCATTCCACTGGTAGCCATGAAATGACTGAAGGCTGAGGATCCAGGGCATTCAACAGCTGAGAGTTTACCTTTGGCTCAGATGGCATGCATGGAGCCCCAATCTCTACAACCTCGCTCAAGAGGAATTCAGGCTGGAAACCACCCAGGGAAGAAGACAGGTGTGCAGGAGGAAGCATTACCGTGACATCCTTATAAAGGTGGATGGGATCATAATCAATATCATTGGAAATGAAGAAGTCGTTGGCCACTGCAAGGAGGGTCATCTCAGGAAGGGAAAAGATGTCCATGAATTGCTTCACTGCTGGTCCCTGAGAGAGCCAGGAAAGGAAGAGAGGGTAAGATGCTTGGAGGAATAGGTGTTAATCATCTTGCACTGTAGCCCTGGCAAAGTGACAGAGCCATGGCTTAGGATTCCTCACCAATGACAAGAGATACAAGGCAGGTGGCTTTACTGACAATTGCCCATTCACCTCCTTGACCCCCACCAAGGCTTCTGTTCTGACAATAGCTCCAGAAATAGCAGCCTCCAGAAATGACCATAGGTTCCAACCCATCCAATATCCAAAGTCCCCGTTTTTGAAGTTGCTGAGTCAGTCAATGATGGACAGGTACTAGACTCCCCTCGCTACAGGCACCTAACTCCCTCGCTCCCCAAGGATTTCTTTAGCTAACAAAGATGGAAATCAAATTCCTCTCTCTCTCCATCATACCTGGTCACTTTGGGGAACAAGCTGGGGTAGCAGACACCAGCGGGTGTGTGCACAGGGGAGGGAGGTCTCCAGACCTATCTGCCTGCCTTTATGCAGCATGAATATCACCAGCAAAGCATAGGCTGTCTAAAACTCTGAGCTAGTGTAACACAGAGGTCCAGGGAGATGAGAATCTAACAGGAATAAGAGTTCCCTTGAGGAATAGCTTGACTAGGAAGCATCAGAACCAGAACTGTGATGCAATAGAGAGTGCTGGCCTTGGCGTCAGGAAATTAGGTTTCAAATCCTGACCTTTCTCTGAGGAAAGGTAAGCAAGAAGGTAACTCCTGATGTGAAGGCTTGTGGGAAGTACTGCACCTTGGGTAAGCTCCAGTCTTTAGACTGTTTAGTTACAAAAGGCTATAGATCAGTGAGCCAAGAGTGATGATGAAAGCCAATTTCCCCGATGCCCCACTCCCACCCTTTCCCTTCAGTTATTATTAGACTTACCCTCAGGGGAGGAAGGCTTGAGTCTCTGTCTACTCACCTTGCCATAGAATCCGCTAACCTGGTGGAGGGGGATATGATGTGTGCCTTGATACAACTCAGTCACTTCTTCATCTGGGACTGGCTTGAGGCCCCTAGGAAAGATTAAAAAGAGCAAAAAAACCATGAGAGAAAAGGTAAGTGGAGACGCACGGGCAATTTGAAAGAATTGTGGAGAGAAAAAAAAAAAAACATTCCGGAGCAAAGGATCTCTTCCAGATATAGATCTGCAAGCTTGGGATTGCCAATCAGCCTGTCCTTGGTGTCCCAATGCGGGCATGTCTGAGAAATGAGGAAATCAAGCCAGACTGGGGAGAAGATTCATACCTTCTGGTCAAAAGTCATCATCCATTCTCAGAAAAACAAAATAATCATGTTGGCAGCGAAGGGAAATGGATTTCTGTCAGCTTTAACTGATTCCTCTCTCTATGGGACCCTGGGCTCTCCTATATGGAAGGGAAGTGGGTATCTAACAGAACAAATGAATGAGAGCTAACCTACACTAATACCCCAATGTCTCTAAGACAACACTCCTGCCCACAAAACAATGACTATATTCTCATGGAATTCTCATTTCTCTATGTGTTAGATTTTTTTTTTTTGCCATTTAGCAAAATTCCAAGGCCACTATTGTGTGTTCACCTCTCCCCATACCCCCAATTCCTGAAAGTCTCACCTGTATACGGTGCCCAGCTGGATGTAATGGAAGGCATCGATCTTCATCAGTAAGCCCTGGATAAACCCAGTGGGAAGAGACTCAGTAAGTACATGGAAAACCCACCAAAAGAATTTTCTGAGAGGTCATCCTACGTCATCCAGACACTTTTTTGCAGGGAGTGGGAAGGATGAAAAGTAGGCGAGTGATACACCCCAACTCCCCCCAAGGTACTCAACCAAAGCAATCAGAAGGGCCTTACCTTGGGAATGTCATAGTGCAATCCTCGGATGGCAAAGTTTGGTAGGTAGTCATATTTGCGGATCCCTTCTGGATACTACAAGGAGAAAAGGAGAGAACAATTATCTGCAAGAAGAAAGGAAGTGGAAGAGGGATGAGGAGGCACTGCTTCTATACTGTTGTCTTCAAAAATGGCACTGCAAGTCAAGCTCTATCTAGTCTTAGTTCAGAGACATGGGGCATTCAGCAGCGTGTTAGTCACGACTAAGGAGTTTTAATACTTTCTGCTTTGTAGAGTCTTCACCTGTGTTCTAGAAAGTGGAGCTGAGGAGGCAGTAGGGAAAAGAGCCAGAATGAAAAAACCATTTGCCTTTTTGAAAGTGGCCATAATGAAAAGTACCAAAACCACCTTATAATTCAATCATTAAACCTCTTCTTAGACTTAAGAGGCAGTTATTTTAGAAGGTCATAGCGTTGATGTCAGAAGTGTTGATGTCTCTCTCTCTCTCTCTCACACACACACACACACACACCCACACACACACCCACACACTATTTTGCAAATGAGGAAACTGAAGCTCAGGGAGGTCAAACTGATTTGCTGTGGGTGAAGCAAACCAAAGTCAAAGCTGGGATTTGCAACCAGGTCTCTCACCTCTACTTCTCCAGTGCCATAAATATATAAGTATCCCACATGCCCCCTGACAGCAAGTCTCCAAAGGTTCCCTTTGTTTACATTCAGGGAGATTTATATAACCTCCTCCCTTCCTTGCTCCCCTCAAAACAAAACCAAACTAGGCAACCGGTCCGACCCAAACTTTGTCATCAGGCTGGATGGTACCTCAAGAACCATTGAAATTCCAAAGAGTCAGCAACATGTTATTTATTCATCAACACGCATGCTTTGCACTTCCCAAGTGGGACAATGAGGGCCAGGCCACTGACCAGGTGGGAAGAGTCCTCCCTTACCTTATACTGTTCCACCAAGATGTCCCTGGCAGTGTTGTAAATCATGGAATGGAGGGAGTTGGAGTACAGAGCCAGAGTGTAGTCATAGTCAAAACCATAGATCTCAATGTCAGCCAGGCACACTTCATTGTTGGCGTAGATGGTGGAAGGGTTCAGGAGGTTACACACACCGGGGGGGAGCAGATCTGAAAGCCCAAAATACAGGATAGACAGGAGAATTTAGGGAAAGCTCCTGCCACCAAGAGGGTATACCCAATCCTGAGTCATGGTAGAAAGTGGCAGGAGAGAGAGATGGAGAGAGGGAGAGAGGGAGGGAGGGAGGGAGAGAGGGAGAGAGGGAGAGAGAGAGACAGAGAGAGAGAGAGAGAGAGAGGGATAACAAATATTCTGGGGTTTGCTTCTAGGGCCTAGCAGAGCAAATTGCTAGGTAATTAATGGATTAGTAAATCATATGCATTTCTAAGCTCTGCAGGCCTTCACTTCCACCTCCATAAAATGAGAGAGCTGAACTTTCTAAGGTCCCTTGCAACTCTAAGAGTTGACACTTCAGGATACTAGTCCAGTATTTCTCAAGTAAGTGGTGCCCCAAATGCTTTATTTCTTGTTGAATGGGAAAAAGAGGGGGTGTTTTATTATAACACAATGCTAGGCACAAAGTGAAGTTTCCAGTGCTAAGACCCCTCCAAAGATAAGAGATTGGGGGAAGTTGCCCAACATCCAATTTATTAACTGCAGTACTGTCACCAGACACCTTGCTTCCCAAGCATTTGTATCACACTCTGAAAGCTCAAAGCATTTGTATCACAATATCTTATGCGATTCCTGGGAGCTCAACCAATCCTTTCATGTTTTGCTTAAAATTCATGCAGTCCTAAAACACAATGCATTTTGCACTGGTACACACTCTTCTGAAACAGTTTCTTCTTGATGGCAACTCACATTGTGTCATTCCTATGATGAGTAACTTCTTCCCATCCTCTTCTTTTAAGCCTCAGAGAAACAGCAGTTTGATACAAACATAGCCTTTCAGTAAAACCAACACTGAGATAGCAGGAACCAGGAATCAAAGAAATGATTGTCCTCAACCCTGGCTGTCTCCATCACCAAATAACCAATGCTTCCTCTAAGAGTGCTCAAGGTCTCGCCTTCACTTTCTTTATAGTGAAGATGGAAATGTTAACTGTTTGCCTGCTAGTTTTGTGTGATTTGCCTAGAGAAAACCACAGTTCCTAAATATTAAACATGTAATCTGCTATTCCTCCCTGACATATTTTCAGGACCCACAGTTAGCTCAGAATAGGCAAGTGCCCTGTTTAGGTGAGTGACCATTCCTCTCATCAGGAATTTGAGCTGCATCCACTTTTGCCACAGAATTCAGAGAGGAACTCCAAGATGGAGGCATGTGCACACTGAGGTTCTTTCAGTAAGGAATTCATTAAGAATTCATTTAGAACTGAACTGCCTGCAAAGTGATTCCATGTGGTTTCCCCAACTACAAGCCCAGAGTCTGAGTTTCCTGTAGGATGTGCAGAGCCAGGAGGCAGCGAAGCCTCTCAGCCAAGGAGGCCAAGACAGAAGAGACAAGCCATCCAATGGTCTCCAAAGTGCAGGCAGGAGAAATTTCTGGAAGCATTCCCAATTCTCCTTCTCTGTGGGCCTTCTTTCTCTACTGTTCCTTTCTGAAACAGAGGGTTGGAGTCAAAGTGATTTGTGAGAGCTGCAGAGTTAGGGTTATACTGAAGGCAAATGAAGAAGGAAGGGATTCTGCTCTTTCAGAATTCTACCTTAGAAATCGGCTGACAACAACCTGTATGTAGATTCTTAAATTACTCTCACGTATGTTATATGCTTATTTTTGAGAAATATATTCAGCCCTCCTACCCAATCCATTGGATTAGAGGGAATTCCTTTGCCTAGGGCCCTCAAGAAATTTAGTCCCAGTGAACAGAATTTCAAAACTAAGTTGGGTCCCAGGTGTCCAAACATATGGGGACCCTAAACAAGGGAGGTAGAGACAGGTGCCAAGAGCTCCAAAAGCCCATCTGAAAGGTAGAGCCATCAATAGAGTGAGGATTACTCAGCATGGGAGAGGTCTATCTGTTTATGACAGACACAGTAGGAAGAGGTGATCTGAAGCCTGGCCTCTTATTTAACAGAGACTTACAATCTCTACTTGCAGAACTAGAAAAGTGATCTTGGGTCAAGTCACTTAAATCCTTTTCTTGCCTTGAATTCTTTCCCAGTAGAATGAGGGTGATAGAACAGACTATCTCCAAAGGCCCTTCTAGGAGCAGAAATGGCATGATCCAATTTCAACTAGATTATTACCCTCCAGTTGCCAAACCAAGAGCTTTATGTGGCCACATCCTTGGAATTCATTATGCTGGGACTTACTATTACCTGCTTGGCTCATACCTTTCTCTTCCCCCAGAGAGCTAATGAAAAGTTACAATATTAAAAATCAAAATTAGATATGACAGTTATCAGCACAGCAGATTGACTAGAAGCATCAGGTAGCCCTGGGTTCAAGTAATACCTCTGCCTCATGCTGGTCCTGTGACCTGTTGTACTAGGTATTTCACTTCTCTGAGATCTGAAGGCGGAAGCAGATCATTGCTCTATATTGGTATGGGGGATTCCTTACTAGAGGTTGGCAAATGGGCCAAATTCAACTCCAGCCTATTTTTTTTTTAAACAGCTAGAGAGCTAAGGATGGTTTTTACATCTTTTTGATAAAACAGAATTTTATTTACAAATATAAAAAATGGGCTGTACCAAAATCAGCAGTGGACCAAATTTGCTGTACCCCAGTTTTGCTGTACTCTCCATACCAATAAAAGATGAGAGTTGTTTTAAAAAAAAAAGAGTTGTCATTTTCAAACTGCGAATAGGAAAATGAATCTCTATGGATTCTTTCAAAGTGGGTCTTTCTTGTTATTTACAGAATCAAATACACTTTCCCTATTGTACTGAGTCAGACATAGTTCTTCTTTGTTTGACTTGTCTCCACTTTTGGAACAAGTGCTAGTGGATATGTGTTACAGAGAAAGGAAACAGAAATAAGATTTCATTTCTAAGCTTTAAGTTTTCCTAAAATATCATATTTCTCAATTAAGAAAGTTGTGGGTAAGGGTGCAGGGTTCTCTCTACTTGAATGAAAAGCAACAATTAGTTTGTTCCACCAGCCTGAAAGAATAAGCTCTTCCCGCCCCCGCCCCCCCTCTCCCCTCAATTTGCTTTCAAAAACATTTGGTCTTACTCCAGTAGGAAGCTCCAACAACTGGCCTGTTTCAAGCATACCATTCTGAAGCCCTCCCAGTAGAGTTTGGAATGTTCTCAGAGTTGGGTAGCATGGAGCCTCCAGCACAGAAAACTGCCAATGGAGTGCTGCCACTCTGGCTTTCTTCTGTGCTTGGGGCTCCTACACCCATGGGCAGTCAAAGCACATGGGGGCAAAAGGAAGATGACCTTAGGTGGAACTAGAACAGGTCAATTAAGTTATAATTTTTTGGATGTTATGCCCTCCTTGGGCAGGCAGTCTAGTGACTAAAGACACATTCTAAAGAATGTTTTAAAATGAATAGGATTACAAAGGGAACCAATTACTGAAATGCAGTTTTAAAAATATTTTTAAAACAAGTTTATGGACCCCAGGTTAAGAACCTCTGAAGCAGAGGGATAGTACTGTCAGGGAGCTGTAGAGACCTGGGCTCCAGACTCGATACTTCCCTGAGATTTACTGGGGAAAGCCAAGCCCTTAGACAACTTAAAAATCTTTCTGAGCTTCGGTTTTCCCATATGTCAAACGAGTATAATGCTACAGTGCTCACCCACAGGGCAATGTCAAGGAACCAGTAGGTTTTAGCATGTTCCCAACCAGAATTGTGTAGATATTCTCACCAAGGCCAAATGAAATTTCCATAGAGCACTTTTTAGTTGGCAGAGTGCTTTCCATGCAGTATTTCCTTTGCGCCTTAGTGAGGTGGGCTGATCTCTGAAGCATTTGACACTGCAGACCCCCTCCATCCTCTCAGACATTTCTTCTTCCCTTGCTCTCTTCCTTCCTGTCTGGTCACTCCTTGTCAGTTTTTATTTTATTATCAGGAATGGCTCAGCCATGGCTATCTCCAAGGTTCTCTCGTGGGCCTTCTCTTTCCTCTATCTACATTTCCCTTCTCTATGATCTCAGCACCTACTCTGGATCTACTTACCATCTCTAATAGATGACTCCCAGATTGAAATAAACAACCTTAGTTTCTTGAACTCTAGTCCTGAATCATCAACTGCCTAGAAGAGATCTCCAGTGGATGTCCTTGAGGTAGCTCAAATTCAATGTCCCAAACAGAACTATCTTCCCCACCCCCCAAGACTCTTCCCTCTTCCTGAGTCACCCAGGTTTAAAGTTATGTAGGGATCCTCAACTGGTCATCCTCCTTCACCCCTTCTTTTCAATCAGTTTCTAAGTCTTGTCAATTCTATCTCCACAACATCTCATATCTGTTCCCTTCTCTCTCCTGTGGCCATGGACCCAGGTTCAAGCTGTCAGCACCAATCACTTGTACTACTGTAATAGTCCAATCAGTCTTTCTGCTAGGCTGACCCTTGACATCTTCCATGCAGCTAGCCAAATGATATTCCTAAAGCACCTGTGTGACTTGTGATGTTACTGCTCTGCTCAAGAAATTCCAGTGGCTTCCTATTGCTTCTAGGATCAAACACAAACTTCTCCATTCAGCTTAAGCCCTTCACAATCATTAGTACTGCCTACCTTTTCAGGCTTAGCACATTCCCCTCCCTTGACATTCTGGTCAGCCATATATAATACTCCATCTCCTGGCTCTGCACTTTTCCTACGGTCAGAATTCACTCCCTTCTTGCCTCTGCTTCATGGAATCCCTGGCTGCAAACAAGGAGCTTGGTCTCCCCAGTTTAGAGTATCTTGGGGGAGGGGCTATGGGGAAGGGAAAGGAAGAAGTATTTATTAAGTAGCAATCCAAGTGCCAGGCACTATGCTAAGTGCTTTACAGTTATCTCATTTGATTCTCACAACCACTCAGACAGGGCAGTGCTATTATGAACTCCATTTCATAGTTGAGGAAATTGAGGCAGACAGAGGTAAAGTGACTTGTCCAGGGTCACTCAGCTAGTATGTGTCTGAAGCAGGATTTGAATTCAGGTCTTCCTGACTCCAAGCCCAACACTTTATTCACTGTGTTACCTATCGGTTTCCTTCCCTTCCCCAGAAACTACTTTGTATATAGTTTGTGCTTAATTTTCTATGTATATGTTGCTTTCCTCCAATAGAATATAAGCTCCTTGAAGGCAGGTACTATTTTTTTGTTGTTGATGTAATAGCCCTAGACCTTAGTACAGTGACTGGCACTTAGTAGGTACTTAATAAATGCTTGCTGTTGTAATAGTAGTAGGTGCTAGTTACTATCCTCATTTTACAGATGAGGAAACTGAGGTTTAGAGCTTTAGAGACAGATTAAGTTGCTTGCTCAAGGCCACACACTTCCTAAGTGACACAGGTGGCATATGAACCCAGGCCTTTCTACCTCCAAGTCCATAATGCAGCAAGATCAATGCAGAACCAACGGCCAAGTCCATGTGCTCCCCTGGTAGCTATGCAATGTCCAAAGAGCTAAACGAAGGCCTTCAGGAAGGGCAGGTCCCTATTCAAGAGTCATACAAGGATCAGAAGACAAGGGGGAATTCACAGTCACATTTAAGTCCTGGGAAAGGGAGGAAGGCTTACATTCTCTTTCATAGGATTAGTTGTGAGGGTCAAAGGAGCTAGGTGTTAAGAATATGTTAGGATTTGGGAAGTGATGGGAGTAGTTGTTATTATGGGGTTTGCTACTTCAATGGTTAGAAACAGGCTCAGGGTTATTAGTTCTTTTCCTCCAACCTAACCACATTATTAGGTCTCTCCTCTCTTCACTGCCCCCACAAAGACCCAGAATAGGATTTAAAAAGCTAACAGGCTCAGAAACTTGGTACAGTCTATACAGTTTAAATCCTGCACAATTATTCAGGATCCTAAGAGGATGAATTTCAGAATATATTAGGTGTTATGAAAAAGCAGGTATATAAGCAGCAAATTACAAGTTAAAATTATCTTAAAAGTAAGGTTATTTGCTCATCTGTTTTAGCAACTCACAGGTGAAGTTTCCCTCTGACTTTATTTATCAGTCCTTTTTCCAAAGGCAAACAACCTAAATCCTCAAGGAAAAAAAAATAAAAAGTAAAGAAAGACTGACTGGAAAGGCAAAATCTTTTAGTGCTGGGATGATTCAGGGTTTCATCTCCTTCAGGAGAAAAATAAGCTTTCACATTTCCAGGCAGTTTCCAGAGTTGCCTGCTCCAGCAATAAAGTTTGCCAGCAGCTTACTCTCTCACACCCGTCTGGCTGCCAAGTCAACCTCAAACATCCAGACCTCAAAGAAGCTTCAGAAGCTGTTATACCTCCTACTTCAATTATATGTACTAGGAAAGGTGCTGAGAAATGCTTCAGGAAGCACATTCAGGAGTCCTTTTTGTGGGAGGCCTACTTGATTCACTTTTCAATGTGATTAGGTGCTTAATAAATGCTCACTGTGTGGTGAGAGAAAACAGAAACCACAGCCTAGAGGAACCTTCAAATGCTATCTGTGGATCCTAAATTTGAAAGGAGATGAATTTATTCTAGGGTCATCAACGGTAATTTCCCCCAAAGGAAAAAAAAAAGTCAAGGTAGAGGAGGATGCAAAACATCCAAACCTGGTGTCCTACTCCCCAAGAACTGCAATACTTAGAGGGGGTTCCCTCTCTCTCATCCTGAACTGAAGAAATTACACTCGGAAAAAGATCAACCTTCCTCCCCACCCCCACCTCCAACACTGTAGCTGTCCTCCCATTCAACACTCCATTCAACACCAACAGCATAACTAGACTCATTCACCTCACCATGTGCATACCCATTAGGTGGTACTGGATGTAGGCTTCACATCCAGCATTTCCTGAGATACACAGTAGAACTTTTAAACACTAGAGGAAAGAAGAGGGGCAAGCGTGCTTTCTGGTGCTGGGTAAAGGGAGGCACGATGCATCAAAGTTCATAAAGAAAAGGGCAGGAATGGCACGAAGGATTTGGAGTCAGAGACCCTGCGTTCTCGCCTTTTCTTTTCCATCACTTGCTACTAGTGGGTAGCTTTGGCCAAGTCTGGTGGTCTCTTTTGGGCCTGGAAGGAGCTCTAAGGTCCCTCTCCAGCTCTGTGTCTGTGATCCTTCGGGCCAATCTTTGGGGGTAGGGTACAGTGTGGAATATGCAATGATGCCACAGCTCCCTCATTAATCAATCAGTGGGGGCAGGTACAAGTACCATTTCTTTCTCTTTGTACAGGGCTGGACTGGAAACAAGCAGAGACTCAAGTAAGACCCCCCCGGGGACGGGCTGGAAGCAGGGGGCTGGGCCTGGGCAAAGGGGAAGTCACCCGAGCCCCCCCCCCGCCCCCCAAGCTCTACTTCATTTGGCCGGGGGAAGGGGAGAGAGGAAGAGGGAAAGAGAGGAGAGGGAGAAGAGGAGAACGGAGGGGGGGGAGGGGGCCGCGCCCCACGCGCTCACCCTGCACCAGGCGCTTCATCTCGTTGTAGCGCGCCCATAGGAAGCTCTTATTGTCCAAGCGGGCGCTGGGGGGCGGGGGGGCCGCCCGCTGCGGCTGCTCGGCGGCGCTGAGGTGGCGGCGGAGGCCTTGGGGCTCACCTCCCCCCGCACCGGGTCCCCCGCCCCCCGCGCCGGGCCCCCCGGAGCCGCAGCGGGTGCTGAGCGCCGCGCGCACCCCGAGCCGGCCCCACAGAGTCGGAGGAGCCGCGGCCATAGCGCCCACGTACCCAAGCCAACCGTCCGGAGGGTCAGTCCTGGTCAGTCCTGCCCGAGCACCGCGCGCTAGCCCTGGCCGCCACACCCCCAGCTCGCCAGAACCCCGGCCGGCCCCTGCAACCGTTCAGCCAATAAACGAGCTCCGTGGCTAGGACGCGCCCCGGACGGCCTCGCCCCCGTCCCCGCCCCGGCGCCACAGCAAGACAGTCCTCAGAGCTTCGAGTTCTGACGTCCCTACTGATTGGCAAAAGCGCTCCGCCTCTGCAGCCAAGTTCCGCCCCAGGAGCCTCCATTCCCCAATGGGGAGACGTGGAGGTAAGCCGCTTCCTCGATGATTGGCCGGCCTTCCGTAGCGTCTTCAGGCTTTGTCACGCCTTCCAGCTGCCGAGGTGGTACGTGCGGAGTGTGAGCTACCTTCTTCCCTCCTCCTCCTCCTCCTGCGGGTACCTGGAGTCCAGCCCACTGCTATCCCCTGCACGTGCACACTGCAGCACCAGGCCCAACGAGCTGGCACCCCGGCTCGGGAGAGCCCCACGCTGTGCAATCGAAGGCGCCCAAGCTCAGAAGAAAGAAAGAAAGAAGGGGAGGGCCCGGATGCCAGTCAGCTGAGTCTGGTCTGACCTGATCTAGCGAAGCCTTGGCTTGGCGTGAACGTTCTCTTGCTCTCTAAGGGACACAGGCTGCACCATCTGGAAAAGACCCAAGGGTCCTCCGAAAGTCATTGGACACTCATTATGTCCCGAACCTTGGGCCGAGTACTGTGCTTCATGCTGGCGATCCAAAAGGGATCTAGAAAAAGTCTCTGCCCTCAAGGAACTCAAACTCCAATAGCTTGAAGAACAAGAACTGACATTAACGTAGTCTTTTAAAGTATGTAAAGTGCTTTTTGAGTGTGCTCGGTGCCCTCCATTTCCCACTCAGTCCCGGCAAAACTAACTGAGATCTGATTCTGAAGATCACTGGGACCCCCCTCCCTCACTCCCACTCCTGCACCGTCACTTTTCTGGGCTCTTTGCCCGCCCCCCCCCAATAACGCATAACTCCAGCCTTTCCAGCATAACTCATGCTTAGTCTTTCCGAAACGGGAATAACAGGGCGTCCTACAGTCTACATGCGCTCTCAAAATGCAATATGAATATTAAAGAGGTGGTTAGCGGGGAGCCAGGTGGCGCAGTGGATGTGGATAGAGCTCTGGCCTTGGAGTCAGGAGGAACTGTGTTCAAATGTGGCCTCAAACACTTGACACTTACTGTGTGACCCTGGCCAAGTCACTTAACCCTGATTGCCTCACCTAAATAAATAAATAATTAAAAAAAATAAAGAGGTGGTTAGTAATATCTTTCATCAAAAACAGGTCTTGGACAGGGCTAGTAAATAGGAAGGTGAGAAAATGTTGCAGATACATTTGACTGAAGCATTCGAGACAGCATGTCATACTATTCTTGTGGAAAACATAGCGAGATGAGCACGGTGCTCTAGACAAAGAAACAATGAGATGGACACAAAACTGCTTGAATGGTTGGACCAAAAGAGGTTCCTGGTGCTCCAAGGCGTAGGTGGTAGGAGGCTTTAGTGCAGTGCCCCAGGAAGCAGTAGTCTGCTCTGTGTTTAACCATTTTTATCGGTGCCATGGTTGAGAGTGTGCAATCATGTAAAACATATTTCCATATTGGTCATTTTATGGAAGAAAACTTGGAAGGAAGGGAGGGAGGGAAAGAAGGAAGGAAAGAAAGAAAGAAAGAAAGGAAGGAAGGAAGGAAGGAAGGAAGGAAGGAAGAAAGAAAGAAAGAAAGAAAGAAAGAAAGAAAGAAAGAAAGAAAGAAACAGTGAAGCAGACTGAGAATTGATGTCATGAAAAACTTCCCAGAAACCAGAGCTCCCCTCCAACATTTATCATTTTCCTTTTTTGTCATATTAGCCAATCTGATAGGTGAGAGATGGTACCTCAGAGTCATTTTAATTGCACTTCTATAACCAACAATGATTTAGTGCATTTTTTCACGTGACTATAGATCATTTTGATTTCTTTGTCTAAAAACTGCCTGTTTATATCCTTTGACCATTTATCAGTTGAAGAATGGTTTGAATTCTTATAAATTTGACTTATAAATTTGACTCAGTCAATGAAAGCATTTTATTTTGATTTATTAGAACTATGTAGGTGGCCTTATGAAGAACTCACTTTACCATGGATAGCTGGTGGAAAAAAAAATTGTTATTAAGCACAATTTTAAAAGATGAAATTCATTTGAATGATTTTGGGGATTTTGAAAATAGAATGCAGAATCAATGTTCCAATCCCCACAAAAAGCTAAAAAGATAGTTATCACTATTGCAGTCAGTGCAGTTGAAGCTGTAAAAGATTTCAGTTTAACAAATGTAATTTGTACAAAGGTAAGAAATCGTTTAATTGTAGATCACATAGCAGATTTAATGACAGTAAATTTAGTGGGAAAAGAGTTAGCAGATTGGGATGTCGCTCCATTTCTCCAATCATGATTGAATTTTAAGCACAGGTTGGCTAGGTATACAGTCCTACAAAAATCAAAGAAATCGATTACGAGAGAATCAACTAAGCATAGATGGCATGTTCATCCAATTTGTAGATGACACCGAACTGGAAGGGATGGCTAACACACTTGATAACAGTCAGAGTCCCAAAAGGTCTTGCCAGGCTCTTAGAGCATCGGGCTGAATGAAATCAAACGAAGATCGATAAGGATACCTGTAAAATCTTTGCACCTGATTACAAGAAATTACTTCACCAGTAAAGGCATGAAAAAGCTCCAGTTTATAAAATATCTGGGAGTTTTATTCAGTGGTGTCCCAATAATGTCTAACAACTTGCTTTCCTCCTCCCCCCATGAAAATATAAGGTCATAAGTTTATGGTAAATCTATATAATCTATATCAGATTGCTTACTATCTCAGGGGGATGGGAGCAGAGGGAGGGAGAGATAGAATTTGGAACTCAAAAGTTAAAAAAATGTTAAAATTGTTTTGACATGTAATTGGGGGAAAATAAAATATTATTAAAAATAAAATACTTTCATTGTTGTTTCTATCCAATAAAAGACATAAGTTCATATGTTTAATTATATTTTCTAGTAACATATTCCTAGGAAGAACATTAAATTGATGATTTTCATTAAATGGAATATCTTTAAACTTATCTGATGACTGAAACTTCAGTTAGAGATTCATGCTTCTAGTACCAATCTTTGAATTTTCCAAAGCTCTTGTGGTGCATTCATTGGATCATGTTTTGCACTTTCTGGAAGTTAGGTGATCCTCACTACAATACAGTCAAAGGTAGGGAAAATTCTTCAAGCCTGTCAATCACGAAAGCAAAGTCCAGCAAGAAATTAATGTTAACTCATCTCTGTGCCCAACGCAGCTAAGAAGGTGAGTGCACACATGTACTTCAGGATGCGGGCACCAACCAGCGATTGCTGTTCCTAAACAACAGACTGCCTATTTCAGGCCCAAGATGGGCCAATTTTAATCATTTCGAGTTCTTTAGCTACAGTTTCTAGCCAAGTTTGATTTTTATTAGATTGGTGAGAAATAGAATAAAATTTAATCCAGGAAGATTTTAAACTGATTAACTTGTTTTATTTCAGATATTGAATCTTCAAGTGATCATTCCAATTGATGATTCAAACACGGACCAAATGATGATTTTAGGAAAATTTTCTAACAGCTTGGTAGCTACTCCAGGCTTTCTTCCCAGCATTGTATTAGCACCACCCCAGCAAAATGCAATTCAATCCACTTTCAAATATTCATTATTAAAGCTAGGTCAAGAAAACAGTAATGTATTCAAAATACACTGTGCTATGGTTGACACCAATTCTTTTAAAGCAACAGGTAACATAACCAGTGTAGGAGCTAATTGAACTGTGCACTGACCAGCTTGGGAAAATTCTTGAAAATTTAACAATTGGCCAGTAGGAGCTTGCTCCCACACACCATTGGTTTAACCAGACAGCCAACTTCCTGAGTCAGCAGTGTGATATGGCAGCCCAGAGAGCTAATGTGATCAGTGGGTACTACATTCAGAGGGGTAGAGCTCCCATAAATAATTAGCTGAGAGTCTGTACTCTGACATGGTCAAACCCCATCTGGTACACTGTGTTCAGGTCTGGGCACCATAGTTTAAAAGAGGCAACAAATATTTAGCAGAGGAAGGCAATAGGATGGCAAAAAGCCTTGAGCCTATGCCATATGAGGAACAATTGAAAGAATGGGGTTGTTTAGCCCAGAGAAGAGAAGACTCAGGAGGACTATGATACCATTCCAAGTAGTTGAAAGACCATCATGTGAAAGAGGGACTAGACTTGGTCTATTTAACCCCTAGAGGGAAGGACCTGGAACATTGGATTGGAGTTGTGGAATGGGCTGGGTGGTCACTTGTTGGATATGGTAGAACGGGTCTTCCTTTTGAGTCTATATTGGACTAGGAGGCCCTGGGTTCTCTTCCAGCTCTCAAATTCTGTGATGTGGGTACTAGGCAACTTTTATTGGTTTAATTTATTACCAGAGAAAATGTTCAAGAAACAAAGGACTCAGAGAAACAGACAATCGTAATACACTCAGATAACTCATCAGCCACCTCACCCCCCTTCATAGAATAAAAACATTTTCCACAGAATGAAAAAAAAACACTTTGGGAGACAAGGACCCCTCACCCCTCTCACCTTAGACCTGCCCTACCCAAGTGATCCACAGAAACATCAGGAGGGCACCACCCCCAACCCCACTTCTTGCCCAGCCCCCTTGGAACCCAGAGGCCCCCCATGCACCATTCTGCTCCCAAAGTCAGTCTCCTCCTCCTTGCCAGCCACCTTGCCTTGCCCTCTCACACAGGTGCCCTTCCTTCCTGCCCCATGCCAAGGTCCCCTTTATGTATGGTCTTTACCCATTAGAATGTAAACTCCTTGAGAGTAGGGATTGTTTTGCTTGCTTGTACTTGTATCCCCAGACCTTAGCACAGGG